GGGGAGGGGAGGGGAGGGAAAGGAAGGGGAAAAGAAGGGAAGGGAAGGGAAGGAGGAGGGGAAGAGAAGGAATGTTTTCCCATCATTAAGGATCCTCCAATCTTTTGAGTGAGCAAAAATGGAACTCTGGCTAAACCTCCTGTCCTTCTTAGTTCTCCTCAGAGGTATTATTTTTGCATCCAAAGAAAGTGGTTATTCCTCAGTTTCTTGTGTTTACCTGCAAAAAGGTCTTATTAAACAACCTTTCTTTCTAGGTGGCCAATCTGAGGTCCATTTGGTGGAATCTGGAGGGGATGTGAGAAGACCTGGAGAGTCCCTCCGTCTCTCCTGCCAAGCCTCTGAATTCACCTTCAGCAGCTACTGGATGAGCTGGGTGAGACAGGCTCCAGGGAAAGGACTGGAATGGGTGGCATTCATAGACACTGGTTCCGGTACTTCCTACCCAGACAAAGTGAAGGGACGGTTCACCATCTCCAGGGACAATGCCAAAAACCAGCTGTATCTGCAGATAAACAGCCTCAAAGCTGAAGACACGGCTGTCTATTACTGTGCTAGAGACACAGTGAGAGGAATTATATGTGAAGCCAAGCAAAAACTGCCCATTTCACCCAGCAGCTCTGTAAACATTTCTAACAAAAACAACTTCATTAATTTGGATTCTTCCTTCATGTCTTCATTCTGCACTTCAACCTTCATCCATTCAATGCATACGAATGATACTCTTTTTTTATGTAATGAACACCACATTTCAATTACATACTCAATCCAGGTTGATATTTACTCAGTCTATTCATTCCTGACCCCACCCACTGATTTCACCACCCATATTTCTTAGTCCTTAATTTACTAACATTATCGTTCATTTATACAAATTAAATCAGGAGAAATATTTGGTGTTGTAGATGTGAAAACCACAGTCAAAGTCCAACTTCTAGGCCAGGACTGATTGCCATCTATTCCAGATTTTTGCATTTTAGATATGATAGTCCTACATTTATTTTAAATTAAATCAGGACAACTAGTTAGTGTTGCAGATGTTAACATACAAAGTTCAACTTGTGGACTGAGTCTGATGGACTTAAGCCATCTTTCTTATAAACTGGTTTTAACTTCCACATGAAAATTAGATGCAAATGAAGTCACTGAGCTGTTTCTCCTTTAAATAAACACAAACACACAAATGAGCATCACAGAGCCAAAAGTGTCATTGTTCTAAAGGAAAAGAGTTTTCCTTACTGCACAATGGATCTTGCCATTCTTTGTCTTCTTTGCTTAGTAGCAGCTCCTGTGTGTGAGTATCTTCCAGGTAGACCTGAACAATGAGATATAAAAAAAGATGGTTCCGTACTAATTCCTGCTTTGTCGTTCATTTAGATGTCCACTCCACCATCCTACTTGTGGAATCTGGACCAGGAACAGTGAGCCCTGGAGGATCCTTCAGATTAACTTGCAAAGTGACTGGTGACTCTGTCAAGAAAGTATACTGGGAGTGGGTCCGCCAGGCTCCAGGAAAAGGACTGGAATGGGTGGGCCAGATAGACTGGGCTAGCGATAACTGGAGGATATACTATGCCTCATCCCTCCAAAGCCGAACAACCTTGTCTGCCGATGACTCCCGCAATGAATATTATTTGACAATGAGCTCCCTGACAGCTGCAGACTCAGCCACATATTACTGTGCAAGAAATCCACAGTGACATAAAGCAAAGGAGGAACTGTGAAAAACTTCTGGGACTTTCCCTGATGAAATTTTATGCACTCACATGAATGGATTCAGATAACTTAGTTCATCTTTCAGGCTGTCATTCTCTGCAGAGAGGAACAAGGTACACATTCTAGGTTAACAAAAAGTAGTACTAGACTTCAATGTTACTGCTGATATTCAGAACAGCACATAGCATGCTGTTTCTTTTGTTTCCTTTCTCCTATTTCCACAGGTTTGTTTTTTTCAAGACCTGGCTGCAATATAACCATGATAGAGAAGGATTAAGAGATGCAGTCCTCTGTAATTTCACCTTTTCTATTCCAGTTCCTCCTTGGAATGTCCAAATGTGCATTGGTTTTCAAACAAGGACCGTATGGGTTGGTAGGAATGGAAAGAGTCTGATCAGTCCCTGTATGGAATTTTTCTTCATAGATAGCACTCTCATCAGGGATGAACTACACATTACATCTGTGACAATGAGCATCTGATGGTTCTTAAGAAATGTGCTTATATTTTACACACACACACACACACACACACAATTTTTATCAATTAAATTGATAAATTAAATGTTTGCAAAATGAATCTTTATGGAGCGTAGTATCAATGAATAAATATATTGCATTATTTTATTTTTATTTATTTATTGAGGTGGGGCTATTGAGCTGATTCCTTTCAGCCTGGAAGTACTGGATATCTCCCAGAGATCGGAAACATTGTCCTAAATCCTGTTTTCTTTCACACATAATGAAAGTCTCCTCAGACCTTTAGCCTGATGGCTCTCTTCTACCTGCTTTGCAAAAGAGGGCAGCAGTGTCTAACAAATTGACATTCTCCACTTTACAAAAAATGAAAGTGAGGTTTTAACAGTTGGCTTGGTGGTTTTCCCTGCTGCTTCCGAACTATCACTCAACAGGTCCCTGAAGACCATCCTTCCCCAAGAGACTTTACATAACTCTTTTCTATAAGAGCTGAGACACAATTTGTCTCATCCAAGTGGTAAAGAAATCCAATCCGGCTTAGATGTTGGCCAATGAGACACAACTAAGGGAATGGCCAGATAAAAGGCAGTTCAGCCTGCAGCAGGACAGAATCATACAACTAGCCATGGGCCAACTCATCACAGGACAATTCAACATTTCAATTTAATTATTTTAAATATATATATATATATTTAAAAAATATGTTCATTCATATTGTTGACATCGAGGTCAACTGTAGAATTGCCAAGGCAAGTTCTGCATTTGGCAGACTGCGAACTAACGCGTGGGACTGCCGTGGAATAAGCCTTGCTACTAAGCTTAAGGTTTACCAGGCAGCAGTGCTAACTACCCTGATGTATGCTAGTGAGACCTGGACAGTGTACAGGAGGCACGTTAGGCAACTGAATTACTTCCACATGACTTGCCTTCGTAGAATTCTGAGGATCCGGTGGCAGGATAAGATACCAGATACAGAGGTCCTCTCCAGAGC